ACGAGGCAGGCGCCCGGCGCTTTCTTGTTTTGAAAGTGTTGCTTTTTGACGGATGTTCTCATTTCCAAGGAAAACGGCTCCGAGATGGAAAGTCGCAAATCGGTGGTGTCCTTCACGACTCCAACCTGCCTTCTGGACGCTGGTGTACACTAAGCCATATTCTCCTCTCTCTCTGCGCCGCAAAGGGGCAGAGACAGAATTTGGCCAGACTGTAAAAAATCATCCTAGCTGGGTTAAAGAGTTTTTGAGCTTCTGACCTGCCTTGCTTGATGGGTTTGTAAAATTAATATACATTTTAATATACATTTCTGAATCCCTTCCCTATAATTAAAAATAGATCTTTAAGGGAGATTTAGAAGCCCTAAATGAAATATATTTTAAAAGGAAAGGAAAAGACCAGCGGGAGCTTACTTGCATAGCACTCAGATGCTGGCACTGGTCTCTCAACGCTAAGTTGCTACCAGCTTGCTAGGCGTAGCGTCTGATATGGCCTAATGTAGAAGGCATCTCCACAAGCGTTTAGTGGGATGAATCTGTGTGATATAGCACCTTATTGATATTCTCATTATGTTTTCTCTTTTTTCCACCCTCCTTTCTTTCAAATCGGTATAGCTAGGAATAAAATAATAAAAAAAAGCTTGATTAAAAAGCTTTTGATATGTCTGTAAAAGAGAAAAAAGGAAATGTACAAATAAATGTGTCTATGTACCTGTGGATAAATTTATCTGTTATGAGTATATATAGTCACTACAGCTCAGAAAAGTGTCATCTTGACAGTTTGTGAAATCTATGGGTCACCACATCTGTCGATAAGACCAACAAAAATGTTGGGCAAAGCCAGAAAGATTTTGGGAAATGACAGAGTGTCATTTTGCCGATTATAAAGTGTTGGTGAAGCCACATCTTAACTACTGTGTATTTCTGGTTTCCACACCACTAATAAGACAGTTGGAGAAGTTAGAGAAGATGTAGAAAAAGGCAACTAAAATGATCAAAGGGATGGAGTGACTGCTTTAAGAGGAAAAGCTTAAAAAGGCTGAGACTCTTTGATTTGCAGATGAGACTACAGAGGGGAGATAACATCAACGTTTACACATCCACAGGTGCAGAACTGTTATTCAGCAAATTCTGCAATCTTAAAACTAGTGCCACTCAATGAAAGTATTAGGGAATGAATCTGAAACATTTGCTTATCCACATGGGCAGGGCAATGCAGAGGTGATGGGTGCCTTAACTATGTGCAGGTGTTCCTTTGCCATAACACCTGTGTATGCTTTTAAAAGTAAATTAACACAAAGAAGCCAGAAGAAGAGCAAGGGAGGAAGCAGTAGGGAGCGTGGCTAGAGTCCTCCTGTGCCGAGGGTGCAGGGGGGTGCCCAGAGGAGGACGTATCTCTCTAAGTGAGAGGCGCTGGCATGAGGTGCATGTGTGGTCCACAGAGATTTTGGATCCTGTCACGTCAGACAGATAGTGCTGGAAGACAGCCCATGTGTTTATGGATGCCAGAGGCGCCCACAGCTATTTAGAACAGTGGGCTAACTAGACCACAGGACATTATATTGTGATTTGTCAACAATTACTCTGCTCCCTGGCTCCTATCTACCTAATTACTCTGGCTGCTTATAGATCATTAATAAAAGCAAGGGGTATTACAATAAAAACATTATATAAAAAGAACAAACTCTTAAACTTCCAAGAACTCTCAACATGGAAAACCCAGGGAGCTGCATACTCAGAGTACTGACAGGATTAGGCTGTAAAACAAGGGAAAGGTTTGAAATATGAAAAGCAGAGAGAACAAGAAAATGTTGGAGAGGCACAATAATTGATAGGCTACTTTAGTAGAGTATGTACCTAATTTCTGGACTCCAAAGAGAGACTGAGAAATGTGCTCTCCAGAGTTCCGTATTTTATGTATTTTAGCATTTAGCAAACTATGGCTTTAATAGCATTGGGACATATTCCTGTTACAATAACAAAAAATGGCTAATTAAGTATGGAAGGTTATTTAAATGCTGCATCAGTCTCGCACAGGATGGAGGCAGAACGTGGCAGAGTCTCAATATTCACTATATGGCAATTAAAGGATGAGTCATGTTGGCTTCTTACAATACTTTCTTACCGGAGGGTTTGGAAGTCTTTTAAAAGTCTCCTTTCTCTGTACCATTATCATAGGCCATTCTGTATTTTCTGTATTTTCCATGCAAGTTTTAGATGTCAGCACAAGGCAAAAATCTATAATGATCATTATTCTCTATGTACAGGACTGTGAAAGAAAAGGATGATGTCACATTATGGGGCTCAGGGGTTCTAAGCGTTCTTGGCATTTTATGTGTGTGCTGATATAGAAATAAAATATTAGAATAGCAAGTACTATTTCTGACACTTACATGTTAAAATATTTACATAGAATATGCTTGTGCTCTATTGCATTCTCCCTTGGTATGAAAGACGCATTTCAGAAATGTGGCAGTACATTTCTTCTCTTCTTAATTACTTCTGTAGCTCTTAATACACTGAAGAGAATCTTACAAGTATTACGATCATGTAAAAGCAGCTTTAATCCCCCTAAAAAAAAAAAAAACTTTTTAAGAAGAGTTTTTTAACCTGGGATCTTCCTCCTGAGCCCAATCCTGGAAGTTACTGATTTGCAGAACCTCTGAAGGTTGAAACAGAAGGGAGTTAAAGGAACTAACCTCTGTCTACTCAGGCATCATTTCCAAAGTTTCTAATTGAAGTAGCAAGACTATCACAAGGAATTGGTACAATTTACCAGCTTCGGGGAGGTAACTGGCACACTAATCAAGAGCTTGCTCTTCTTTTTATCTTACAGAAAAAGCCACAGTTATGATCAGAAAAAAGTTTTAATTGTAGCTTAAAATTAAAACTACTATATAGATCAAATAAAATTAAGAATTTCAGTTACATATAGATGTACAAGCATGACAAAGATGTATGAACATGACCGTGTGTTAAGGTTTTTATATTTCTTTAAAGACCTGAAGAATCAGACACTAAATCAGAGTAGATGGAATGATAAAGAAAGGTTCAAGTTCTGCTTGAACCTGATAAAGGAAGCATTTTGATGATTTAAGTAAGTGAAAAAAGAAGCACAAGAAGCCATGGCCTCATATGGCATGGGACTTTTCTTTGCATTTAAGATTTTGCATGAATTTAGTGTGCTCAAAGTAGTCAAATACTGTAAAAGCTCACATTGTATTAAAATCCGACAGATTATGCCAGACACCAAGTCACCTGGCTACACTCACTCCTCTATTTTAGTTGTTGCATCCCTGCCAAATTTAATTTTCACTAGAAGTAATAATCATGTAATCAATAGTCATGTAATCAAATAGAGAATTCAATTCTGTAGCAAAAAAATTACATTCAGTAGTCTGTCTTGTATAATATTAAAAAAAAGCTAGACATCTACTTTTAGATTCTGAAACAAGTCTAGCTGGCTTACGGCAGACGTACATAAACAAAACATGTACCTGTATTCACTGTCTGGGGGAAGTCATTGTCTTAACTGTTTTTGGTTAACTAATGTCAGTGCAACACATGAAGAATACCCTTGAGTGTGTGTTAGGAGCGTGCCAAGTTCTTCACTGCCCACACCTCAGGGCAGTAACTGACTCTGAAGTTCTGCCCACACTTTTACTTGGAGATTATTTTTAAAAAGACTAGGAGACTATCAGTTTTCTAAAACGGGATGCCACGTTTCCTAACATCTGTATATAATGTTTACAGTTTTATGTCTAGGAAATTTCAGGAAATATCTTGTCTATCAGAGTGCCCAACCTTCTGGAATAATCCAAATTATGTTTCATTACAGAAAATCCTCTTGTTAAAACTATTGTCCTCCATGATTTTAAAACAGGCAATTCAAAAGACTGGGCCACATTCTGCTCTCACTTACATTAAAATAACCCCATCAACTTCAATTCTCTTACAATAGTATGAAGATCAAGAGACTTACCGCTGTCCACTTGCTGCTGCCTACGTCATAGAACTCTGTGGGCATCAAGGATAGCTTTTTTCTGTAAAAAATTATTTCTCTTCTAATCCTTCTAGTAACGAGATCTAACATGCTAAGAATCAAAGTGACTTTCAAGAATTTATTTGTTCCCTTGTGATTGCCTTTTGCTAATAATATACCCTCTAAACTTTCACCAAAATCTAGACTAATGAGATCAAAACTACTTAAATTAAAACACATTTCTAGCCTATTGATTTATGTCTGCTTAAATCATACTACATAACATAAGCTGAAGAATCATAGCTTCCAGCCAAGTCTTTTGTGTATTCGGAAAAGCTTTATCAAGCCTATGCTAAAAATTGCATTAAAGTACATTTACATTTTTTTTCTTAATGCATAAAATCGTGTAGGCTATTCCCTTACCACATTCCAGTTCTGTTTTCAGAATCTGTGTATGTTATCCACAGTAGTGAAATCTGCTGCATTCGTGGGCACCAGTTCTTCAGTGTTTGTTGTTAAGGGTATCATGTTACACTTCAAAAACTGTTTGCTCGTGATAATAGAAGATTTTGAGAGAACTCATAATTTAAGAAGGAAATACAATTGCAGCGATTTCTGCAGCATTCTAGTAAAAACAAATAAATGAATTAGATCATGAATACTGAACTAAACTGGAAAACAGTTTGTGATCTGAAACCAGTTAGAAGTAGGTATATCTGAACATCCAGAACTGTAGGGAGCGTGTATCCTGGTTTTTCAAATTCTAATGTTCAGTCTTACCCTTGCATACACTCTCCTTCAGCATATGTTCTGACACAGTAGGGAAAAGCGTTAGAGAAGTTCCTCTTTGCTACCTTGTTAGTTCTTTGTTCTTTCTTTTGTTTTGATCTGGATGATCCCTATCCAGAATCTTATGCTGTTTCTCTGTGCTTCAAGAAACTTGCAATGGAGGAGGCTGGCATAACTATGAACCTGAGCTGTAACTTTTCAGTTAAAATAGCCAGTCCTGTTTGGGGAACAAATGACTTCATGTATGGATTATGGAAATAATTCTCTTTACGCTCCCCTCTGGAAAACTGGTTTTGTGCAACCTTCGCCTAGGAGCTTCGCTTAACAAAATTCTAAGGATTGCAGCAAACTTTTAATTACTTCTGAGAAAACAAGAACATCAATTTTGTAAACTGACAGTTATTTCCAAGATTACGTTTGTTGCTGGGACTCCATGGTAACATAAATACATAGATAGCTTCAATGCTTTAATGATGCTATCTATGATAATAATTGAAAAATTATCTTAAATATTTGAAATAGCAACCCATAACTAGTCAGAACAACATGAATTTGGCTACAATCTGTTCTCAGAAACACTAGTGGATTTCCACTGTTCTCCACAGAAAAACAGGCCTTTGTATAATCTTATGATTTTACTAATTTTGGAGGTAAGACTTTGCTATGGAAATGTGACAAGGAGGTATTTGGAAAAAACACAAAGTGTGCATAGCAGAAAGTTGTAAGAAGAAAAAAATCATTTGATGAGTCATAGTTTGAGTTTGAGAAAGAGTCTGTAAAAGCAGAGCAATCTGAAGAGAAAAGAATTTTCAGAATATTGTGGTAAATAGATTCTAGAATCGGTATCACAGAGAAACCTAATTAAAGAAAAACAGCCTGAAAGACACACATTCTTTCTTTAATGACAAGGTTTAAAGTAATAGTATATTTGACTTAATTGGAGCATTTCTAATTTACCTCAGCTAAGAATCTTCCCTAGTATCTCTAATTTAAAAAAAATACTCTTTTGGATATGATGTTGATTATAACTTCAATGAAATGCATTTCTTAACTTTCCAAGCCAGAATATGCTTACATTTTTTTGCCACTGAATCTTCAGATATTTAGATTTCTTTAGCCAGTTCAAGAGAAACAATGGTGTATTTAAGCAGGAGTAAAAACTACACCATTTATTCTCATAAGGCTGTCTCTGTGACTGTTAGTCCAACAGTAATAGTAGTTCAAAAGTAATTCAAAAGATTTTAAACCAAGCTTAATTTCAGAAGTTTCTTAATTACATCATTCATCCTAATTTACATGGATTTTTCCAATCCACAACTTTTTCAGAAGACATAATATTTTAGAATAGACGATTTAAATAATAGAACTTCAAATTACTAGAGATGGGATTTGCAGGATGACTCTTTGAAAATTCATTGTAAAGAGATATTTTTACCACCTAGGTTCAGGTACCAAATTGCAAAATCTAATTTATGAGGCTGATGTCTTTAGGCTGTATGTACAGTAAATAGATACTGGATCCCCCAGAGAGCAGTTGAGAGAATCTAAACTAGGCTCCAAACTCTGAATCTCCCTCTGGAGGAATCTCTGTCAACTGTACCTCAGGCACATATGTACACTTCAGCATTGTGAATACCTCCTTCCTATTTTTCCAGTCTCTTACTACTGTTTAATTCTGAAATCTCTAGAATAAGTTTAGTACACGTAATTCAGACTATACACAGTTCACAACTATTTATTGAGATAGATTGAACAGATGCTTGTTCATAGTTACGCTATATACATGCACAAGAACAGCAACTAGTTTCCTAAAACCTGTCGATTCTATAGAAGTGTTCAGGAGACACCAACTATACAGTGAACTGCCTTAATTTTTAAGCCACTCAGACAAATACGCCTGTAAATTCAAACTGATTTATAACATCAACTGATTATAATTTGCAGATTTTAAAAATTTTTCTCAAATAACTTGTTTAAAGATTGCCAAAGAAAATCTCATCTGTCCAAGGAAAGAAAAAAAGGTAGAAATTTCAGACAATTTAGAAGAAACACATAATTTATCAGCATAGATGCATTAAGTTTGATAATGTTCTTAAAATTTAGAGATGCAGTTCTCTGAAGATCTGATATGAATTATGAAATCTAATTTTATTTTCATAGCTCTGTGATAAAGTTTTATAAATGTTGTAAAAAAGGGTCTTTACTAAGAATGAACAGGAATCTGAACTATCTGATCAAGTAATAAAAATGCATTCCTCTGCTGCAAAGTGTCAGACAAGCAAGGTTTACCTGAAAATTGATTGGTAAGTCTTCCTTTTCCATTTGAGTGCATTCACTTTTACTTTGTAGGATAAAAGGTTTTTTTTAAATGTTTTTTTTCATTAACATCAAACTTGACTGTTTGTTGGCAAAAAAAAAAGCAGACATAAAAAAAGATAGAAACAGTCAAGAAAAAGTTTAGGAATCTTAATTAATGATATTGTCTTACAACTTCAATGTTCTGTTGTTCTCATTTATTATTACAAGGGACAATTCAACTCTGGGTTCCTCTAGCATTGCAAAAGATTACAAAAGCAGTTTGACTCTCCTTATGCTGGGATAATCCTGAGTGGTGGATACTCTATTATCTGAGACAAGAACTTCAAAAGGATATAGTGATTCTAAAAAAATAAACTCTCTGGTCACGTCCATTCAGACTGAC